AACCTGCCTCGTTGTTTTTTTTAAACACTTCTTGGCCCTCAACTTTGCCTAGACTTTTTTTCTCCCATTGAAATCCCCCCCCACCCTTGAATCCTGATCCAGGTAACACGTCTGTGCCCCCGGGGGGGGGGGAAGAAAAGGGCCCCCTTAACCCTTTTGGGTCCATTAGGAAAATATTGATAATAATCCAGAAGCAACTGCAGGCATTAAAAGTGTTTGTTCCTGTGCGTGCCAAGCATGGTGCAACCCAGGGAGCAAACTTTGGAGTTCCCCAAGGACTTGGGTGTTTTGTGTGTGTGTATGTGTGTGTACGCAGGCTGAACATTCAGCTCACACAGTTGCAAAAGTACATGTTTTGTGTACTTTTTGGGGGGGATTTGTCCTCCCAAAGTTATGCACCTACTGCTGCTTTCTGGAGTTTGATGCTCGACTGGATCAGCAGAACAGGAATGGAAAAGACCAAGTAAAACAGGAGGAAGGATTGCTTTTATTTAAAAGTGCGAGTTTGAATAGTCTTGGGGGGGGGATCCTGGGGCATGTAGTCCTTGTAGTCCAGAAAGTTAATTTTACAATATCTGGGTATCATTTAGTTTTCTTTCTAAAGATGGAGATACTAATTCCAAGCTCTTACATAGTAAAGGGCGTTCAGCTCAATGAGATTTACTTATAGTAAACAGAATCAAAATTGTGATGTTACACAAGTCAAGTTACACAGATGATATTTTGAAGCCTTTGTATACAATTCTGTATTTTTAATCAATGAGATACTTTTCAAGGTGAATTTTTTAAAAAAAATGTTTCAAAAGTTTTAAAAAACAAATGTACACCTGTCTTTATTTATCTTTTTTTGTTTTATTTTATGCTGCCCTGTTAGGGACTAGCTTCTTTCTGTATAAAGGAATCTGCAATCAGTAAAAGTAGTGTGGTTTTGGGTTTTTTTCCTGGCTGCAGTTAAACTTTCCATCACCTGCTTTCCTTGTTTTGTTCAGTCTCTTGATCTTCTGTTTTTCCCCTTTCCAAATCTCGATTTACATTTCACCTGGAACTTTTCCTGCTTATTCATCTTCCACTGCCAAGAATATTCATGTGCCCCTTCAGTCTGCTTCAGACTTGTTTTTTATTGTTTCTTTTTTGTCGTACAGGTCTCTCAGGTTGCAGAATCTTATGCATAATTACCTGACAGTGCTGCCTATGAGCAGTGTGGACTTCCCTTCTGGGTAGACACCTGGAGGCTTGAACTAACAGAATACATAACTATTTCCCACTTTCTCCTCTGGAGCAAAGATCTTACCTGGGGGTTGTGGAAAATCTGTCTTAATAGTAACTTGAGTGCTATACTGTATTTTCAGCCTTCTGTTCACAGTAAATGCTTTCTGCAGCTTCTATATATCTTAAAGATATCTGTTTTCATACATTCCTCCTCCTGCTAAGAATATTGCATGTGGAGATGATGAGTTTTGAAGAAGGCTTATATTTTGGAAATTGTGTTTAGTTTCCTTCCATTAAGTGGCTTGCAACTATGTTTAAAAGTTTTCTCTCAGTGTAATAGTTAAATTCTAGTTTTATTTGTTTCTGCTTGAATGAGAAGCCAAATTATAAATGTCTATTTGTATTTATGTTCAAGGCGACTAGCATAGCAACAACATCTATTTCCTGTTATGTCTCATGTGCTCCAAATCTGACACAGATCTTCAGCATCTTAAGATCTCACACAGATCTTAAGTATTAGGGTATATTTTTCTTGCGCAACTGATTTTTGTTTAAACCAGACACTCAGCTTCCCTGATAATACCTGACTTAACAGAAGTCCCCTCTCTTTACCGTAAAGCCTCTTTCTTTATCAAACTTCCCCTAAACCTGAGGTGAGCAAAGGTCAACCTTGGTGGATTGCATCTCCTTTACTGCCTCTGTCATAAAACCTCTTGTTTGTTGAACTTTCTTTGAACCCAAGTATGTAAAGTGTGCCTTTCCAGATGTTCTAAACTGAAAAACGTAACATTCTTTTATCAGTGGCTCATTGGAGCTGTAGTCCAGCAGCATTTGGAGAGGCACTTTTTGCCTACTTCTTTTATATACAAGTCTTTAGCATTTTGTCTATAGTGCATGGAGGTCATTACTTGGAATTCTGTGCACAGGATAAACATGGACATGTTTATTGTTTGTTTGATAAACATACACTTGGTTGCTGCAGAAGGAGGAAATCCCACTATCTTTCTGCCTGCCAGTACAGGATTGGATTTTTATTTTGCATGTCCAACAAACCTAAGAATCAGCCTTCGCCATTCACCTAAAACACAGTTTCCAAGCAACTCTTTTTTGAAGGTGGCATTACTAAACAAACGTAAGAGAGGGTTATGTTGACTTTTTTATTTTATTAGCCAGCCGTTCAGCAAATGACAATAGGGCCCTCAAAATGTTTTTGTTTGCATAACAGCTAAAGCCAAACTAAATTGCCAAAATAGAAATACAATAGATTAAAAATACTATCAACAACTTAATCTCTTTGTATACATTTATAATAATGTCTGGAATGCTGTTACATCAGTGTAGTAAATTGCACTAGAGTAGGCCCACTGAATCAATGAGGATTTTGTGAGTGAACTCTGTAACTTCCATAGTTTCAAATGGGCCTACTCTTACTGTGTATAGTATAGTAGGTTGCAATCAGAGTAGCCCCATTTAAATCAGTGGGACTTGCAGAAAAGATGACTTGCCAAATCCCCATCGATTGAAGGGTCTACTCTAGTATGATTTCCTGTATTAAATAACAGGATTTTGGCCAATAGTACAAATGATTGTGCAGCCCTGGCTTCCTTTTTTGTTTAGAGCAATGGTTCCCAACCTTAGATTCCCAAACATTCTTGGACTACAACTCCCAGAAGCTCTTGCCAGCATGGCTGTTGGTGAAGGCTTTTGGGAATTGCAGTCCCTGAATGTCTGGGGAACGCTGGGTTGGGAACTGCTGGTTTAGAGAGAGGCATGACGCTGGTTTGGGAACTGCTGGTTTAGAGAGAGGCATGCACCTTGCCATCATTGAGTTCCCCTTAATTGATAGCTTGTGCAGTAATGCTTACAGTACAGTATTATGTGCAATCTCTGGTGCCATATACAGCATGCAGTTGTTCAGGTATCTTTTCTTCTGCCCTTAACTGGCTGAATTTCTGTTCTGAAACCATGTGGATGTTATCTAGAATTGGCAGATTTTTAGATAGTTTCCCACATTACTGTCTTGTCTTTTTCAGGTAGGATATGCATTGGGAAGTTTGGAAGAAGATTACCCTCTATATACTGGCTGTGAATATTTAGTAGTGAGATAGGGTGGTATGCTTATGTGGCTAATCGTCTAAGACAGTAGCACTATAAGAACAGTCCTAGCCTCATGCGTTCGTTTTTGTACGTGGCTTGATTTGCCGTTATTATATCCAGCCCATTGTTCCACTCATATCCTGACTGGAGCTTTTAATTTAAGCCCTATGACTCCATTTATACTATTAGACTTGTAGACATATGTATACTATCTTCTCTTGGCATTGATCTTAACAAGACCTGGCTTTTATTTTTAGTCTTGGCGTATGATTCTTGCATGTGTAAAAGTATTGTCTTGGAGATGAAACCAGACGTCTGATTTTACAACCACCATCACCAAAATACAAACGTTTGAGGTTTAAGTCTCCTACTATAGTTTTCTTTGATCTGCACGGATTCCTAATGCCTTCACAAGCCATCTACAACTCTTCACATGTGTACAAGATAAGAAGGACTTTAGTGGAAGGTCCTAGAAGCTATCAGCGCTCTACAATTCTGCCAGAGAAAGAACCTGTCTCGCAAATCAGCTTATGGCATCTCTGCTGTTCCTCTAATAGTAACCACATGTTCTGTTCAAATAGTACTCCAGAAAAATCCCAGCTTTATTACTCGACCTAGAGTATTGGATTACTGTGCTAATTTAAAGTCAGCAATAACACCTACAGGAGAGGGAGTCTAAATTGAGTCTGTGATAAATCCATCAAAAATATACCCATCGGCCAGTTGGTTACCTGAGAGGGTGCTCTGTCTTTTTCACAGCTCATTTCCTTCATAAAGGAGCGCAAATGACTGAGGATTTTGGTGCATGATAGAATTGTATGCTCCGGGTAGGTGGGGCTCGTCAGCCATGGAAGGCAGCCCATCTAGGAGAAGGAAAACTCCGATTTCAAACCTCCACTGCCTTGTGGCTATATCCACTCATGGAAAAGGCTTCAGGAGTTAACCTCGAGGCAAAATCCGGAGCTGGAGTCCCGAAGGCAGCATGTGTCATTGTGCCAACTCCTGCGACGGCATGATAGAATTGTATGCACAAATATTTATTTATTTATTTTTTGGTCGGATAAGGATGCTGGCACTTCTGCACATGTACCTCTTTCCCAAAGAAATTCTTGGGTGCATTTCAGAATAGGTAGATCACTTTGAAGTATTAATGGGCTGAATTGTATGCATAAATATTTATTTATTTATT